TATATAAATTTATATGTATATTTTTTAATATTATATTACAATAAAATTAAATATTAAAAATTGATATATACTTACATTATTCTAAAATTTTTAAAAATTAATATTTAATACATAAAAGATAAAATAAAAACATAAAAAATATTTTTTTAGATATAATTTTTAAAAACATATTTAAAAATATGATTTATTAAATATTTAGAAGTGCTATTATGTATAAAAGATATAAAAATTTTTTTTTCTCTCTCTTCTCTTTTCCTTTCTTTTTTCTCTAGCAAAAAGCAAAAATATATACAAATCAAATTAAAGAAGAATACTTACACTAACAAATAAAAAACCTTGAAAAGCGAATAATATGCCAAAGTAAAAGAGCGCCCCAAGCAGCATCAAAGTAAATATATCATCAATGATATAGATTGATCTGTAAGAGAAAGTTATCAAGCAAAACGATACCAATGAATATTTTAATCATATTATTATATTATTTTTATGAATGCGAAAGAGAGGGATTATATAAAAGAGTTTCTATTACTATTAAATTAAAAAAGAACTCCATTATTTTATTCTACTAATATAGGGCATTAAAAAAAAATTCAGTAATTGTTTCAATCTTTCGTAAATTAACTTTATATATATTTTTTAATTTTGTGGGGCAAAAAAATTTAGTGATATTCAAACATTTCAAAATTTTACAATACTATATTATAGGCAAAGTAAAAAAGAGCAAGAAAATTCCTTGATATTATCAATGTTTAAACATAATGAATAACCTGATGAGACGTATATGATCCTGTACGCTGTAAGATAGAACGTTTTCGAAATTGTTAAATTTATCGAGGTCGATGACGCGTGCCTTGAGATTCTCCAGCTGACCGCACACGTGAAAGACCAGCAGACTTAAAAAACAATCTGTACTGGTGTACGCAGCACCAAACATAAATATGCCGATAGATTGCAAGGTGTATGTTATTTCATAAAACGGACTTTTATCTCGATCATAAAAGTAATACGTTTGTAACGGCATTAATCTATCCGGGTCCGTTATATTCGTCAGATATCTCATTGAAAAACCAAAGACAGGAAGAGTCGTACCCAAAGAGAAGGTCATGAACATTATAAAATATCCGAATATCGTGAGTATGTACGCGAATCGCGCTCGTTTTATCATAATATTCTTCTCTTGCACAGTTTTTTGCTTCAACCAATCGTGCTTAATCATGTTTAGAAGCGGTAGAATATCTAGAAACAATAAGTATGTAGAAATACATGCGTCACAGTTGCTTATTTTTGATATATATATATA